AATTGTGTCGGACGCCTTGCTTAGTGCTCTGCAAGCCGCTGTCAACACGACCCTCGGCCAGTTATGTTGCCAATTCGTGTATGTTGCAGCTGTGCTTTAGAGTTTCAGTGTAAATATTTGCCGTGTTGTTTTGCTAACCGGCTGCAGACCAGTATAGCAGTACGCCTCGTAACTTCTGTCCGCACTCTACAGCTGTTGTTAAATGTTCCGTAGCTTGCTGCTTCTATCTCAGGAACAACTCTGCTCGCACAGTCGAGCCTTTGACGATGTATCTGCAGAACACCAGAAGCCTCAACCAGAAAGAGCTCGTGGGCCTCTTCAAGGCCATCTCGGACACACAAGCAATGGGAAAGGAGAACGCAGACATCGCCATGCGTGAGGGCTTGAAGTGCATCTTGTGCAATCAGCTCGACAAGACCTTTGCAGAAGAGTTGGCCTGCTGCCGCAACTTCGTCGATTCCTGCCTCTGCCGACAGTTTTTGAGTTTGCGCAAGGCGGGTGTCAAGCCGCAGACGTGGTTGGACTCCAACTGGTCGCTCGCCCGGCTTCTGATGGAGGAAGCAGATCTCCAAGCAGTCAAGCACAGTGCTGGTAACTGGAAAGCTGTTGCTACACACGTGGCACGGCTCACAGCGTCGTCCTCTTTGGGACAAGCCTTGTTCGGATATGCCGAGCAGCTCGTCAGTTCGGTTATCTTCGAAGACAAAGTTGAGAAGGACGTTGCCGACTTGCTCACTGCGGACGTCACTGCAGACAAGGTGCGCGATGTTAGGGTTGCTTGCGAGGCCTACACAGGTGATCTCAAGCGGATTGCAAGCTTGAAAGGCTTGAAGCGACACGTGGCCATCAATTTCCTGCAGCAGTCTGTGACTGTCACCATCATGGATTTTTCTTTGGAGGTGCATCTGCGACTGTCTGCAGCTTTGAAAGGGCTGGCGATCCAGCAGGGGCAGCTCCAGAGGTTGCCGTACGAGGACTGGCTGCTACCGGCAGCGCTGGAGCCGAAGATCCGGATCCAGGAAGAGTTGCTGCAAGACGCAGCTGCTTGTCGCAAGCTGGCGGTTGAGATGTTGCAAAGCGAAAGTGTCAACTCGCTTCAGGACATGGCAAAGATTCTCGAGAAAAATTCTCAAGCTCTCTGCAGTCTCGATTCCTCTTTCAAGCTGGAGTTGGCTTTCCTCAGCACTTCTGCAGATGATCTCTTGAAGGCAACGGTGACTCGGAAGCTGCTGGAGACGCTGCCCAGCGAGAGCAGGCGACGGAGCTTGACGCAGTC